AGACAAGGGCAGCCCCATGTAGAGAGCATTGCAGTAGTCCAGTCTTGAGGTGACCATCGCATGGATCACTGACACCAGGTTGTTGCGTTCAAGGAAGGGAACCAACTGTCTGATCAGCCGAAGATGGTAAAAGGTCGATTTGGCAATAGCTGCTACCTGGGCCTCCATAGCTAAGGAGGTATCCAGGAGCACTCCCAAACTCCTAACCTCCAGCGCTGGCACAAATAGTGCCCCATCTAAGGTCGGGAGCCGGATTCCTAACCCCAGCCCGCTCCGACCCCAGGCACAGGACCTCCATCTTAGTCCGATTCCAGTCGGCTCAGCCTAAGCCAAGCAGCCACGGCTTGTAGCGCCCAGTCCAGATCTTCTGGTTTGGAGTCGGACTGACCAGTGACCACCCAACAACAGATAGAGCTGGGTGTCATCCGCATACTGGTGACAACCCAGCCCATGCCTCCGGGCAATCTGGGCAAGGGGGCACATATAGATATTAAAAAGCATCGGGGACAGCACTGTCCCTTGAGGTACACCACAGTCTAGTGGGTGCCTCCAGGATAGTAACCCTTTGTCCCTGACCTTGGAGAAAGGAGGCAAGCCACTGCAAGGCCAGCCCCTGAATTCCAATGTCGGTGAGGCGGTGGATCAGTAGCAGATGGTCAACCTTGTTGAATGCTGCCAACAGGTCCAACAGCAGCAGCACTGCTAATCTGCCTCGATCCAGATGCCTCCGGAGGTTGTCTGTGAGGGCAACCAGTGCCGTCTCCGTCCCATGGCCTGGGCGAAAGCTGGACTGCAAGGGATCTAAAGTGGAAGCATCATCCAAAAAGCCCTGTAGCTGAATTTCCACTGCCCTCTTTATCATCTTGCCCAAATAGGGCAAGTTAGAGACCGGCCGATAGTTGGTCAATTCAGCCGGGTCTAAAGATGGCTTTTTCAAGAGAGGGCAAACCATGGCTTCCTTAAGTGCCTTGCGGAACAGTCCCTCTGAGAGGGACTTGTTGATAATCTCTCACAAGTCACCTCGAAACCCCTCGTGGCCAGCTTTCATTAGCTATGAAGGGCACGGATCAAGGGAGCAGGTGGTAGGGTGGACAGTTAGGAGTAATTTGTCAACTTCCTCTAGGCTGAGCAGACCAAAATGATCCAAAACTTGACCAGAAGACATGCATGGAGCCTTGAGTTCCCTCACTGTATCAACTGTAGCGGGAAGGTTGCGGTGGAGTGACAACACTTTATCTGCAAAATAGCTCACAAAAGCCTCACAGCCAATGGCCAGTTCCCTAGCGTTTGGTTTACCTTGTGGCAAAGAAGTAATGGACCGGATCATTCTAAACAACTGGGCTGGGCGTGAGCTTGTAGATGCAATCGCAGCTGTATAGTACTCTCTTTTTATGACTTTGACTATAGGATCTCATAAACATCCTATAAGATGTTCTTGTAGCTTCGTCATGAGTACGCCATCACCGTCTCTCTGTCTTAGCCCTCGCTTCATCAGCTGCAACTCCTGGGTAAACCATGGAGCAAGCCTAGAGCGAGAGCGCAGAGGGTGTTGGGGAGCGATCTCATCGAAGGCTGTTGGGAGTCAGTTGTGCCAATCCTCTACAAGCTCATCTAATGAGCCACCAGGGGGCATCGGATCCCGGAGAGCCATCTGAAGCCGTGTTGGGTCCATTTGGCTCTGCGGGCAAGCCAAAATAGGCTCGCTGCTCAAACAGGGTTGGGGTGACATATTCAGACGGGCCTTCAGAGCAAAGTGGTCCAACCATGGTACTGCTGAAGCAGTAATCTGGTCCACTGTAACCCCCGCCGTGAAGACCAAATCGAGCGTGTACCCAGCCCGATGAGTGGGAGTTGTTAGAAAGCAAATATTCCACCTAGCTACTGTCCATGGAGCACCAATCATCTTCCAATCCAGATTGCAAAACCAGTCTAAATATGTTTAACTTTAATGCCACCTAAACATTCCATCATCTCAATATCCGATCTACATTGTTCTTCATATGAAACAGTGACAAATTGTCTATGAGGTTCAGAGGTGGAAAGATTATTCTCTTCGTCTGAGAATAATTAAGAAAAAACCCTAATGATAAAACTGGAATATTACAAATGTCAGTAGTCAAACAACAGCACTTTGCAAAGTGCAAGACATGTGGAAACTTAGACAATGGCAGGACTTTACAGTACCTTACAGTGCAATCCTGCCACCGATGTAATCATGGTACTGATCGTCTGTTCACGGGAAGGTTTCATTAGTGACTGGGTGACATGAAAAAGACGGTGAAGCTGGGTTTCTGAGGCTGCAACCATATCAGCACCCCCAGCAACTGCACTGCACTGTCCCATTCAGGAGTCTTGGTGTGACGGCTGAGCCATGATGGACAGGGGAGGCAGAACCAACCAGGGACTGGCAGGAGCCGGGGCCCAGGCCTTCACATGACATAGCTGAGGACCAGGAAGGGGTGTGGCGTTAAAGGGGGTCACTGTCATCACCATGGAAAGTGCATGGGGAAATGGCAAGGAGAGTCATCAGCACAGTCACTGGCATCAGCCGCTCACCTGTGGGCACGCCTCCCAGCAGCCTGGAAATGCTGGTGAGGGCACCCCAGGCCATCCCTGCTGGGGGTGGAGCTGGAGAGGTGCTGTGGGGCAGGCCAACATGTGGGGGCCTGTAGTGCCACCAAGTCCTGTAACAGCTTCTCAATGTGACCTGTCCATCCCCAGTGTCCCTTGCAACATTGAATAACACCTAAGTTCCAAAAAAGGCAGGACATCCCTCCCCCTGTTTTTCACCAGATATGGCGTTGGAGTGGGCAACCAGGCATTCTTCCCAGATACAGGGATGAGACACACCAGTGGGGGTTACCATGGAGGTGATTCTGTAATCATCTGTGATATTCCAATCTGCCAGTCAGAACTCCATCGAACCCCAACATGGAAGTTCAGTGCAGTAGAGAGTTTTAACAAGAAACACTGAATGCCTTGGCTGGGTAGGTCTGCCCTTCTTGGTGGGTCAACTGGGACCTGAACACTCACAGTGGCGCCACAGCTGGGAGCTTGAAAATGCACGTTTATGCACCACCTTCATTTTTTGTGTCCCACGACCTCCTTTGACTGCTTTACTGGCGCATCGTTCCATTCCAATTGATCCTTAGCCTACCAGAGCCCCTTGCAAAATGTATGGAAATGGGTCAGAGACTCTGGCTCTTGGGAAGGCTTTCTGTGAACTCCTCCATCAATCATTCATCAGCTAGGCAAGTGCTTGGCCAGGCTGTACACATCAAACCGGGGGTGGTGGGGGCGACCACCAAATTTAAGACTGACATAAGCAGCTGCTTGCAACTGTGGAACCATGTGTCAGCCTCTGAGAGCCAGTTTGGTGTAGTGGTTAAGAGCGCGGACTGTGATCTGGGAGAACCGGGTTTGATTACCTGCTCCTCCACATGCAGCTGCCCATGTAGCCTCGGGTCAGTCACATGTTCTCTTAGGCCACCATCGTAGCCCTGTAGCAGTTGCCTCGCCGAGAAGTGCTAAGTGCCGTCTCTGTGCTCTTCCCACCACCAGAGTGTCTCACTGCTCACTCTAGGTTCGTATGGCAGGGAGCTCTTAGCCGGAGTCCCGTGCCAAGTGCCCTACCTAATGAGTTTTAGGGTGTCCTGGCCACGGTTTCTGTAGGATGGGGGGGGCAACAGTTGGGTGCTGGAGAGGGGGTGTGGGTGCTGCAGGGGAGGGAGGTGATTGGTCAGACTGTAGTTGGCATCCTGAGCTCCTCTGGGCCATATGGGCATTGCTGTGCCAGTGGGGGGGGGGACTTGGTTTTTTTTATTTCCATGGGTGCCTATGGATTACATCATGTTTTTTGGTGGCTTAATTGTCTACCACTGACGGGGGAGTGTTCCTGGGATGAAATGGCTTTAGAAGCCAACTAGCTGCAGCCACTCCCCTAGGCTTGCCCATAACCATACTGGCATAGGGTCCTACACTTCTGTTCCACCAATGGGCCACCGTGAGCATTGGGGTGGTGTTAGGGGACTGAACCAGAGTAATTGAGCCTTACACCAGCATATCACTGAGATACACCAGTGTAATGCTTAGTGCTTTTGCTCCTCCTCCCATAGGACTGCAGTGTTAGGCAAGAATGTGATGTACATTTGTTTGGGAGTTAAGTGCCACTGAATACAGAAGGACTTACTTCTGTATGAGCTAGGGTTACCATATTTTGAAAAGCAATAAAGGACATATTTCCCAACTGACTACTTAAAGCAAGTGATCACTATGAGAAATCTCATTTTAAAGACCCCTCCTATTTAAGCTGTGATCGTTGCTACTAACTAGGAATATCCCTAACCTTCCAACCCCCAAAGGAGACATTTTCATCAGTTTTTTAAAAAGAGCCCAAAAGGGGACAGACAAACAAAGAGGGTATGCCCTCTAAAAAGAGGACATCTGGCAACCCTAGTATACTATAAGCACTCATAGGATTGCACAGTTAGTGTAGTGCAGTGATTCCTAACCTTTTGGTATGGTGAACTACAAGTCCAATTTACTTAGTAGGGTAATCTAGTTTTAAAAAAACAGAGCATGCACAATTCAGTACAACCGCAAGCGCCTGGGACCCACCCTTACACGCTTTGCAACCCACTTTTGCATCATCAGGATCCACAGATTTAGAAACGCCGGTTTAGTGGATAGCAACCGGATAGTTTTTGACTACCGGCGACTTGGGGCCGGCTCCAAGGTAATGGCAAGGCCGGAGAGACGCAGCAGTAGAAACAGCCGCTTCCCTCGGTTCCCCCTCCATTGGTCAACCCCGCGCTGCGGCTGAGAGACAAGCAAGTCCCGCCCCTTACGAATGGAACCGCTGCTCAAGGCCTCCGCAGCCTCTAACCAATCAGCAGCGGCTAATAGGAAACGAGAGTGGCGTACCGAGGCGCCTATGGCGGCGCCGCAGTCGGCTATCGGGGAGCCGCCAATAGCACGCGCCTTTCTCATTACCGCTGTTAGCGGCCGTAGCAGCAGCAGACGCGGGTAAGCTGTAAGCGAGCGGATTCTTCCCCCCCCCCCCCGCCCCCCCGGGCGGGGGCCGCCGGGGGGGGGGGGGGGGGGTCTGGGGCTGGGTCAGAGGCATTGCTGTGCTAGGAGCAAGGGTGGCTCCCGGGGGAGGCTGAGTACCTTCCTGAAAATTT